TGGACACAGGGAGGGGAGCACTACACACTGGGGTCTGTTTTGGGGAATAGGGGAGGGACAGAGTGGGGTGGGGAGTTGGGTAGAGATAGCATGGAGAGAAATGCCAGATATAGGTGAAGGGGAGGAAGGCAGCAAATCACACTGCCATGTGTGTACCTATGCAACTATCTTGCATGTTCTTCACATGTACCCCAAAACCTAAAATGCAATAAACAAAAATAAAATAAAAAAATAAAAGTTAAAAAAAAAAGACTACTATCATCATACTTCTGTTACTCAGGATATCATCTGTCTTTATACACTCTTCTTTCCTCCTCAAACCTATTTTATTTATATTCCATCTCTTTCCAAAAATAATTCATATAGCATGAAAATGAACAAATAGATACGATTAATGAAATAACAAAGTCATGGTCAAAAAAGAGGAAACAAACCTTCCTATTTCTGGAATAACAGTGGCTGTATGTGATGATCCAGTTTGGCCCTGAGCTATGGTAAACTACCTAGTTCTCATTATCAGAAAGAAAAGGATACTAATTTCTTCAGGAAGACAATTTTCCCAGACTGTTGGTCCTAAAGCGTTTCTTAGAGGAATCTTATACAGGAGCCAAGCTTTAGCAGCAACTGACATGCAGTTTTGACATGCAGTTTTAACATGCAGACAAGTTTTAACAGCAACTGACATGCAGTTTCTACATGGCCATGTCTCTCAAGACCTTTAACAAAAGTACAAATCAGTGAGGGCAATTCTGCAAGGGGCTAAATTAAGGTGATCCAAGTACCCTGCCTTCCAGTGGTGTTAATGATCCCAGGAGAGTTCTGACTACCTCCTAGAGTGGATGGATATTGCCTCAATCTTGCAGCTGACTGACCTTTCCATAAGTGAGGCCATACTGGAGGAAGAGCACTAATCAAGGTGGTAGGATTTCTCAGTAGTTTAATAAAGGTCGAAGGGAGGAGGAGGAGGTAATAAAAACTTACAGCTAAATAGAGATTCAGGTTCTCAGTGGATTTCCTTTAACCACCCTAGGGCACCTCTCTGTTGGCCTGAATAACTGTAAATGGATGTCACTGAGGTAGAAGACTTCATTATGGTTATTAATTACGTTCTAGCACTGGTCCTTTGTTCCCCTGAGCTCTCACCCTGGGCAAACAGCCCAGTTGAGAAACTGTCCAGGTGAATCTTACCTGCAGCCCCAGCTTGCACAGTGATGGGGTCAGCGAGGAGCAAGCAGGGGTACTTTTTTCAGAGTTGGTGAGGGCACCGGGCTGCAAGATAAGTTCGCGGAGAGGAGTTCTCATAGCTGGTTTTCCCTGAGAAAGAAAGCAAGAAAGAGGGCAAGTGTGAGGAAGGCTGGGCTCTGCCAGCCCACCCTTCCTCCCTCCCTAAGAAACTCAAGAAGCAATTAAGAGAGTAGGCTTGAGCTCAGGGTTGTAGCTCCCAGTGAAGGCTCAGGGAGTAAGTGGACGCCAGACTTGACGAATTTTTGTTGCCTACGGACCAGGAGATTCCCAGCAGAGGAGCCCCATGGGTCACCAGCGCAACTCTTTTGGCCGGCGCGGCTGTTTTGCCGGTGTCCCATTGCAGAGGTTCTCAGTGTGGAGTATGCGGGACTGGGTGCCCTTTTAGTTGGCATTTGGAGCTCCAAGAAGGCAGAGTCACCCATTCAGCTGATTGAGAGGGGGACTGAAGCCGGGAGCCAGACCGGGAGATTCCCAGGCAGAAAAGCGCCACGAATCTCAGCGCCGCTGTTTCAGCCGGCATGGTCGCAGCACAGGAAATTGCATAGATCCCGGCACCTTTTTGGCAGGCGACTGGGGCACCTGGGAGAGAATCGACCGTTCAATTAGGAAAAGAAAAAAAAGGGGGCTCCGAGGCAGGGGAGCCAGGTGATCGGGCTTGGCTGGTCCCACCCCCCACAAAAAAACAGCAATTGGAAAAGCTGACGCTTGAGAGTTTCACAGCAAGCACAGCTGAACCCGGGAAGGTCCAGCTCTGTGGGGGAGGGGGGTCCACCAAAGGAAAACAAAGAAACAGAAATAACATCACCACCAACAAGCTGGATGTCCGCTCAGAGACCCAATCTGAAAGTCAGCAATTACAAAGACCACAGGTGGCTAAATCCACAAAGATGGGAAGAAACCAGCACAAAAAGGCTGAAAACATCCGAAATCAGAATGCCTCTCCTCCTTCAGGGGACCGCAGCTCCTCATCAGCAAGGGAACAAGGCATGATGGAGAATGAACGTGATGAATTGTCAGAATCAGGCTCCAGAAGGTAGATAATAAGAAACTTCTGTGAGCTAAAAGAACATGTTCTAACCCAATGCAAAGAAACTAAGAACCTTGAAAAAAGGTTTGACGAAATGCTAATGAGAATAGACAATTTAGAGAGGAATATAAGTGAATCAATGGAGCTGAAAAACAACAGGAGAACTTTGCGAAGTATGCACAAGTTTCAACAGTCGAACTGATCAAGCAGAAGAAAGGATATCAGAGGTTGAAGACCAACTCAATGAAATAAAATGAGAAGACAAGATTAGAGAAAAAAGGACAAAAAGGAATGAGCAAAGTCTCCAAGAAATATGGGACTATGTGAAAAGACCTAATCTACGTTTGATAGGTGTACCTGAATGTGACAAAGAGAATGAATCCAAGCTGGAAAATATTCTTCAGGATATTATTCAGGAAAACGTTCCCAACCTAGCAAGGCAGAACAATATTCAACTCCAGGTAATAGAGAGATATTCCATAAAGATATTCCTCAAGAAGAGCAACCCCAAGGCACATAATTGTCAGATTCACCAGGTTTGAAATGAAGGAGAAAATGCTAAGGGCAGCCAGAGAGAAAGGTCAGGTTACCCACAAAGGGAAGCCTATCAGACTCACAGCAGATCTCTCAGCAGAAACCCTACAAGCCAGAAGAGAGTGGGGGCCAATATTTAACATCCTTAAAGAAAAGAACTTTCAACCCAGAATTTCATATCCAGCCAAACTAAGCTTCATAAGCAAAGGAAAAATAATATCTTTTGTGAACAAGCAAGTACTCAGAGATTTCATCACCATCAGGCCTGCATTACAAGAGCCTTTCCAAAAATATACCAAAAGATAAAGAGCATCAACATAATGAAGAATCTACATCAACTAATGGGCAAAACAGCCAGCTAGCATCAAATGGCAGTATTAAACTCACATATATTATTATTAATCCTAAATTTAAATTGACTAAATCCCCCAATCAAAAGACACGGACAGGCAAATTGGATAAAAAGCCAAAACCCATCGGTATGCTGCATCCAGACCCATCTCATATGCAAGAATACACAAAGACTCAAAGGGATGGAGGAAGATTTACCAACCAAATGGAGAGCAAAAATAAATAAATAAATAAATAAATAAAAAGCAGGAGTTGCAACTCCCACCTCTGAAAAAATAGACTTTAAAGCAACAAAGATCCAAAGAGGCAAAGAAGGACATTACATAATGGTAAAAGGATGAATGCAACAAGAAGAGCTAACGACCCTAAATATATATGCACCCAATACAGAAGCACCCAGATACATAAGACAAGTTCTTAATAACTTATAAAGAGACTTAGACTCCCACACAATAATGGTGGGAGACTTTAACATCACATTGTCAATATTAGACAGATAAACGAGACAGAAAATTAACATGGATGGATATCCAGGACTTGAACTCAGACCCGGAACAAGTAAACTTAATAAACGTTTATAGAACTCTCCACCCCAAATACACAAAACATACATTCTTATCAGTACCACATCACACCTACTCTAAAAGTGACTACATAATTGGAAGTAAATCACTCCTCAGCAATTGCATAGCATTTCACGGGTTTAAATGAAATATTGGTTGGCTGCTTGTTTGTTATTTTCCTCCCTTATTCCTTCCTGTCTCCATTGTTAAGCACAATTATTGGCATAAAAGAGGTTTGCAATACCCATTTTTAGACTGCATTCTGGCCTGGGCAATAGAGAAAGACTCCCATTCTCTCTCCCTCTTCCTTCCTCTTTCTTTCTCTCTTTCATTCTTTTTTCTCTTTCTTTCTCTCTCTCTCTTTTCTTTTTTTTTCCAAAAAAAAAAAAAAAGGGAGAGAGAGAGAGAGTAGGCTCGCACCCTAGTCGCGCAGGAGCGGCACGGCGAGCAAGGACTCCACAAACCCCTAACCCCAGGCTCCACCCAACTTTCCAGGACAGTCAACACGGCCGATGCCCCCGACCCAACAGCCCGGCCAGCTCTCTCCGCCAGAGCTCTCTCGATTACCGTCTGGGGCGAAGGCGACAGGCTGAGGCTCAGTTTTTTCGCCCGCCACATCTTCAACACAGAAGACAGGTTGATCACGTCTCCGACCAAGTCGAGGACGCCGCGTTCACCCGCCGTCTGTGTTTAAACCTTCTCCGAGCTTCCCAATTGGCTGCTCCAGGCCGGCGCTTCCGCTCGGGGCCGAAGCCCGCGGGTAGGTGGGCGTGGCAGTGTTGGTCACGCCCCCTATCCCGCCTGCCCCTGCGTAGTCTCGCGCTCTCCGCTGACCAAGTCCTCACCGCAGGCATCGGCGATAGGGCTGGAGGCGAGGCTGGCTCAGGACAGGGCTTGTGTCCTCACATCGGAGAAGACCCCACAGATTGCTAGAGAGTCAAGGAGTCCATCCCTCCTGCTTCCAGTGGACCCCCTCACATCCATGGTGTTCACATCCAAGTTGTCTCTGTGGATGAAGCCTTTCCTCAGGTCTCCCTCAGTCCCCTCCCGCCGCAGCCTTGACGGGAAAGAGCCGGCCAGGGAGTCTAGTAGCCGAAGCGGGTCCGAGCGACTTCCCTAGGCTTGGTGGGACCGCGTCCGGAACGGCCTGGGCTATAATGGTCTAGAAAAGCCTCCAGAGTTTCTGGGCTTTTCCTTGGACTTGCTCAGGCCCGCTATCAGTTCACTGGGATAACAGCCTACATGTATTGAACTTTGAGTGTGTGGCTGGCGCAGTGCCAAATGCCGTGTAGTAGCTCACTTAATCCGCATAAAGACCTTCGTAGTGAGAAGTACTAAAAATATCCCCATTTGAGACAGCAGGGAGCTGAGTCAGAGAGAGCGTGTGTAATTTGCCCAGCGTCCCACAGATAGTAAATGGCAGAGCCGAGCTCCTTCCCTGCCCCGCCAGCGCCTGCCTTCCGCCTCTCGGATCTCCTGTGTTCAGGAAACCTGTTGAAGGTAGGACTGCTAAATGGTAAGTATTCAGAGTGAGCCGTTTGCGATGGTGTGTGTTCCTTTGCACACTCACGGCGCCCTATTTACACTCTACAAGTCTTAATACATTGGGGGAAAGCAGCAATCGAAAGAGGAAAGAACTATGATGTTAGAAACTGAAACGTCCCTGGGGACGGGCTCCTCTAGTACTGTGTTATCCAATACCTAAGCCCTAACCATAGTGGCTTTTGAGGACTTCAAATGTGACTAGTCCCAGTGGGAATGTGCTATAAAGGTAAAACACTTTACACACTGGATTTCAAACACGTCATATGAAAAAAGGAATGCAAAATATAGCAGGGTGCGGTGGCTCATGCCTGAAATCCCAGCACCGGGAAGACAGAGGCAGGAGGATGCTTTGAGCCCAGGAGTTCGACACCTCCCTAGGCAATATAGTGAGACCTTATCTACAAAAACAAACAAAAAAGTTAAGGCCAGGCGCGGTGGCTCACGCCTATAATCCCACACTTTGGGAGGCCGGCAGATCACCTGAGGTCAGGAGTTAGAGACCAGCCTGGCCAACATGATGAAACCCCCTAACAAAAATTAGCTCGGTGTGGTGGGCGCCTGTAATCCCAGCTACTAGGGAGGCTGAGGCAAGGAGAATCTCTTGAACCCAGGAGGCAGAGGTTGCAGTGAGCCGTGATCGTGCGACTACATTCCAGCCTGGGTCACAGAGCTAGACTCTGTCTCAAAAAAAAAAAAAAAAAAAATTTTTTTTTTAAGCCTGCAGTGGTGGCAAACGCCTACCATAATCCCAGCTTGGGAGGATCGCTTCAGCCTAGTTCAAGGCTGCTGAGCTATGTTCATCCCACTGCACTCTAGCCTGGGCAACAAAGCAAGACCGTGTCATCAAAAAAAAAAAAAAAAAATACTGTTTACAGGGTGGCCAAGGCAGGTGGATCACCTGAGGTTGAGAGTTCAAGACCAGCCTGACCAACATGGAGAAACCCCGTCTCTACTAAAAATACAAAATTAGCCGGGCATGGTGGTGCATGCCTGAAATCCCAGCTACTTGGGAAGCTGAAGCAGGAAAATTGCTTGAACCCAGGAGGCGGAGGTTGCAGTGAGCCAAGATCTCACCATTGCACTTCAGCCTGGGCAAAAAGAGCAAAACAACATCTCAAAAAAGAAATAAATACTGTTTACATATTGAAATTATATTTTAGCAATATTGGGTTAAATAAAATACATTAAAATTAATTTTTTTTGAGAGGGAGTTTCGCTGTTGTTACCCAGACTGGAGTGCAATGGCGCGATCTTGGCTCACCGCAACCTCCGCCTCCTGGGTTCAAGCAATTCTCCTGCCTCAGCCTCCCGAGTAGCTGGGACTACAGGCGCGCACCACCATGCCCAGCTAATTTTTGTATTTTTAGTAGAGACGGGGCTTCACCATGTTGACTAGGATGGTCTCGATCTCTTGACCTCGTGATCCACCCACCTTGGCCTCCCAAAGTGCTGTAATTATAGGCGTGAGCCACCGCACCCGGCCAAAAAATAATTTTTTTATTTTTGAGAAAGGGTCTTGCTTTATCACCCAGGCAGGAGTGCAGTGGCGCCACCATGGCTCCATGCAGCCTTGAAGTCCTAGGCTCAAGCAGTCCTTCTGCTGGGACTACAGGCGTGCCACCACACCTGGCTAATTTTTTTTATAAAGACAGTCTCTTGCCGTATTGCCCAGGCTGGTATTAAATTCCTAGGCTCAAGTGATCCTCCCACCTCAGCCTCCCAAAGTGCTGGAAGTACAGTCATGAGCCACCACACACAGCCTTTTGAAACTTTTTAAATCTAATATATAAAACTTTTTTTTTGAGATGGAGTCTTGGTCTGTCACCAGGCTGGAGTGCAGTAGGGCAATCTCAGCTGACTGCAACCTCCACTTCCTGGGTTCAAGCAATTCTTCCACCTCAGCCTCCTGAGTAGCTGGGACCAGAGGCATGTGCCACCATGCCTGGCTATTTTTTGTATTTTTAGTAGAGACGGGGTTTCACCATGTTGCCCATGATAGTCTCGATCTCTTGACCTCATGATCTGCCCACCTTGGCCTCCCAAAGTGCTGGGATTACAGGTGTGAGCCACCGTGCCTGGCCTATATATTTTTAAATAGGGTCTGGCTCTGTTACCCAGTACAGTAGCATGATCTCAGCTCACTACAACCTCTGCCTCCCAGGCCCAAGTGATTCTTGTGCCTCAGCCTCCTGAGTAGCTGGGATTACAGGCCCACACCACTATGCCCAGCTAATTTTTGTACTTTTAGTAGAAACAGGATTACGTCTCATCATGTTATCCAGGCTGGTCTCCAACTTCGGTCTTAAGTGATCCTCCTGCCTTGGCCTCCCAAAGTGCTGAGATTACAAGCATGAACCACCACACCCTGCCTAAGGAAATTTTTTTTTTTTTTTTTGATATGGAGTCTCACTATCACCCAGGCTGGAGTGCAATGGCATGGTCTCGGCTAACTGCAACATCTGCCTCCCAGGTTCGAGCAGTTCTCCCACCTCAGCCTCCCTAGTAGCTGGGACTACAGGTGCATGCCACCACAACCAGCTAATTTTTGTATTTTTAGTAGAGACGGGGTTTCACTGTGTTGACCAGGCTTGTCTTGAACTCCTTACCTCGTGATCTGCCCACCTCGGCCTCCCAAAGTGCTGGGATTATAGGCATGAGCTACTGTGCACAGCTGGAATTTTTTTGTGTGTGGGTATATAGTAGATATGTATATTAAAATTAAGTGAATTTAATGTGAATAAGTAAAAGGTATAAGTCAGTGATTCTGAATGGAGGTGGAGGGACTAGGAGGAGTGAATGCCTTCCAGAGATAATCACATCAGAATTGGAGGAAAGCAGCAGTGCTTTTTTTTGAGACAGAGTTTCACTTTTGTTGCCCAGGCTGGAGTGCAATGGCTCGATCTCGGCTCACCACAGCTTCTACCTCCTGGGTTCAAGTGATTCTCCTGCCTCAGCCTCCCAAGTAGCTGGGACTACAGGCGCCCGCCCACCACACTCGGCTAATTTTTGTATTTTTAGTAGAGATGGGGTTTTCACTATGTTGGCCAGGCTGGTCCTGAACTCCTGACCTCGTGACCCACCCACCTCGGCCTCCAAAAGTGTTGGTATTATAGGCGTGAGCCACCGCACCTGGCCTGGCAATGCTTTTTTAAATTATACTAATTATACTTTCTGAAACTTTTTCTTTTCTTTTTTTCTTACTCGCTCTGTCACCCAGACTGGAGTGCAGTGGCCAAATCATAGCTTCAGGTTATGATTTGGGCATAACCTAAAGCTTCTGGGCTCAAGCAATCCTCCCACCTTAGCCTACTGAGTAGCTGGGTGGTACAGGACCACCACACCTGGCTAATTTTTAAAAATATTTTTATAGAGATGAGGTCTCACTGTGTTGCCTAGGCTGGCCTGGAAGTCCTGGACTGAAGTGATCCTCCCACCTCAGCCTCCCAAAGTGCTGGGATTACAGGTGTGAAGCACTATGCTCAGCCAAAATTTTGATTTTCTGTTACCCCCTCCACTGCACCCTGAGAATCACTGCTGTGGTAGACTACTGAAGAGTATGTTGAAAATGTTCTCATTTGGTAAGAAATAATTCAAACTACACTCACATGATTATGATCTCTAAACTAATATGACCTAGGAAAGAGATTTTAGTTACATTATGTTTAACCATTTCTTAAGGACCTTAACCCATTGTGCTGCTGTGATCACAAAAGCCATATAATGTTGGGTGACCCAAACATTAATTAACACGGTATTATAAAATCCTCTGCATCTGCCCTTTGAAAAAGCATCACAGGGCTGGGAGCATTGGCTCACGCCTGTAATCCCACCAATTGGGGAGGCCGAGGCAGGTGGATCACCTGAGGTCAGGATTTGAGACCAGCCTGGTCAACATGGTGACACCCCATCTCTACTAAAAATACAAAAATTAGCCAGGCGTGGTGGCAAGCACCTGTAATCCCAGCAACTTGGGAGGCTGAGGCAGGAGAGTCACTTGAACCCAGGATGCAGAGGTTGCAGTAAGCTGAGATCACACCACTGCGCTCCAGTGTGGGTGACAAGGCGAAACTCAGTCTCAAAAAGAAAAAGCATCACAGGCCAGGCGCAGTGGCTCACACCTATAATCCTAGCACTTTGAGAGGCCAAGGCAAGCGGATCACTGAAGCTCAGGAGTTCAAGATCACCTTGGGCAACATGGCGAATTTCCATCTCTTAAAGAAAAGGAACAGGGAAGGGGAAGGGGAAAGAAAAGAAACTATATGAATAAATTGTCTTATTTATTTATGTAAATAAATTTCAGCATCACAGAAATCCCAACCCATCCCCTATAGTTAAGAACCAGTGGTTATTTTACCTTCATTTTACACACCAGGAAACTAAGATCCAGAGAGGTTAAAATAACTTATTAAAGACAATTAGATAGTTATTAATGGATTCAGGCATCAGGTCTCCTAAATTCCAATCGAATGCTCTTAACTACTATTTTAGAAACCATTAATTCCTATCTTTCGTGTTCAGAGTTTTTATCCAGTATGCAGTTCTGGTCATTACAACTTTAAAAAAGTAATGTAAATGTCTAAAGAGAAACAAATGAGATAAAAGTATATTGTCGTATTTATTTATATCCCAACCTTATTACAAAAAGGCTTACAAAGATGCAGATATTATAATAGGTATTATTACTGCATATAGATGCAGTAATATAAATGGATTAAAACTTAGAAAAATGAGAATAAGGAAAAGACAGGTAGAAAAGACAGAACCAAAAACATGACTAGCATACAAAATACATAAACATTTGCTGAAGGTAGGCCACAAACTGGGCTCTAAATGGTCTAGTCTCAGTACAAACAGAAAAATACAATCAGTTGGATATTTAGTGTCCTTAAGGTTAAAAACAAACAGCAATTCAGGAAAAGCATAACTGGGTCCAGAGAAAATTTCTCCTATGCATTCTTAAGTAGAAAGTTATGAACTGTTATGATAAACACCCTTTACAGTATCCATAGCAATTTATTTTATTTAATTTTTTTCCTGAGACAGGATCTCACTCTGTTGCTCAGGGTGGATGCAGTGGCACAATCTTGACCCACTGCAACTGCTGCCTTCCGGTTTCAAGCAATTCTTCTCCCTCAGCCTCCTGAGTGGCTGGGACTACAGCGTGCATAACCATGACTGGCTAATTTTTGTATTTTTTTGTTAAAGACGGGGTTTCACCATGTTGGCCAGGCTGGTCTCAAACTCCTGACCTTAGGGTATCTGCCACCTCAGCCTCCCAAAGTGCTGGGATTACATGTGTGAGCCACCACACCCAGCCAGCAATAAAATTTCATAGAGCAATTAAATTTTCTTTTTTTTTTTGGAGACAGACTCTGGCTCTTGTTACCCAGGCTGGAGTGCAATGGCGCCATCTCAGCTCACTGCAACCTCTGCCTCCTGAGTTCAAGCAATTCTCCTGCCTCAGCCTCCCGATAGCTGGGACTACAGGCACGTGCCACCATGCCCAGCTAACTCTTGTATTTTTAGTAGAGATGGGGTTTCACCATGTTGACCAAGATGGTCTCGACCTCTTGACCTCGTGATCCACCCGCCTCGGCCTCCCAAAGTGCTGGGATTATAGGCGTGAGCCAAAACTGTATACAAATTTAAAACCCAGATGCTTTTCCTTAATAAAGGAAAAGGTTATTGAGATATATGGCACAGTTTTGGCTCACTGCAACCTTGGCCTCCTGGCTTCAAGCAATTCTCCTGCCTGAGCCTCCCAAGTAGCTGGGACTACACATGTGCGACAACACATCCAGCTAATTTTTGTATTTTTTAGTAGAGACAAGGTTTTACCATGTTGGCCAAGCTGGTCTCGAACTCCTGACCTCAACTGATCTGCCCACCTCAGCCTCCTCCTAAATCTTCAGGTTGCTGCATGACTCTTAATTTCTTGGTTTGCCCATCAGAAACGAAATCCTGGGCTGACTAGGAGAAATTATCAGTTTAATAATCTTATGCTTTTCAAAAGAGGTTTTATTTTGGACAACTGTTCTAATTATAGACCTAGAGAAGTCATTTAACCCACCAAATTTCAGTTTACATTTTCTTCTTCACTAGCTTATTTGATTCACCTTTCAATTTTTCTTTTTGAGACGGAGTTTCGCTCATTACCCAGGCTAAAGTGCAATGGCGCAATCTCGGCTCACCGCAACCTCCGCCTCCTGGGTTCAGGCAATTCTCCTGCCTCAGCCTCCTGAGTAGCTGGGATTACAGGCATGCGCCACCATGCCCAGCTAATTTTTTGTATTTTAGTAGAGACGTGGTTTCACCATGTTGACCAGGATGGTCTCGATCTCTTGACCTCGTGACCCACCGCCTTGGCCTCCCAAAATGCTGGGATTACAGGCGTGAGCCACTGTGCCCGGCCCAGATTATATTTTTTAACTGCATATTTAGGGGTTGAAATGCCAGCTTTCGAAACTTTTGAAAAATTCACAGGCTGGGTGTGGTGGCTCACAACTGTGAAGTTTGCAGTGAGCAGAGATCATACCACTGCACTCCAACCTGGGTGACAGAGTAAGACCCTATTTCAAAAAAAAAAAAAAAGGCCAGGCGCAGTGGCTCACACCTGTAATCCCAGCACTTTGGGATGCCAAGGCAGGCGGATCACTTAAGGTCAGGAGTTCGAGACCAACTTGGCCAACATAGTGAAACTCTGTCTCTACCAAAAAACATAAAAATTAGCTGGGTGTGGTGGCACACACCTGTAATCCCAGCTACTCTGGAGGCTGAGGCATGAAAATCATTTGAACCCAGGAGGCAGAGGTTGCAGTGAGTCAAGATCACACCAATGCACTCCCGCCTGGTCAACAGAGTGAGACTCTATCTCAAAAAAAAAAAAAATTCATATTGCCTCTGACAAGCCTATTAAACACATGAATAGCACCCTGGGAGCCCAGGAAGTATTATTATTGCTCAAGAAAGGAAACATGGCAGAGAAACAAGTGGAAGCAGCTCTGGCTGACAGCCTAAGGGTAGGAGCACTACAGAAGTAAAGAAAAGGAAAAGGTCACCACCCTGATCTGAGATGTTGAATTGAAAGATAGGTTGTATGATGGGGAAGGAATAGGGCCAGTTTGGCTGCCAGTAGCAGAATGTCCAAGATTGGAACTCTAGTCTAGGAGAACAGAACAGTGAGAGATTACAAAATAAAAACAAGCTGGATTATCAAGGTGGTCATACTGAGTCTACAGGGATAGAGATCTTCAGGCTTCCAGCCAGGCTCCAATTTACAGTAGAGAGGCTCAAGCAGGGATAGGGTAGAACAGGAAGGACTCCAGATCACAGTCGAAGTCATCAAAGGGCATGGTCTCCGCTGAACTGGGCAGGGTAGCTTGTGTCTCCATGACAAAGTTCACTGGGTGCTTCTGTAGGAGCTCTGGGTCAAAGGCCACACCCCGAAAGAAAGGGTGGACCTGGAAGTGATGCAGATAACGCAGACGATAGAGGGGGTTCTGGCCTAAGAGCTAAAGGGAAATAGAGCATGATAGATGAGTGACTAGGGTAGGGAAGGCCTGAACAGAAAGGATGAAAAAGAAGAAAGAAGTTGATAGAGCTGTGGAGGGTAGAAATAAGAACCCTAAAGAGTAGATGATTTGTGAAAGAGGGAGAAAGAGAGGCTACTTTGGGGAAAAGGTGGGAATAATGGAGCTGTATTTGTGAGTGTTCAGATGGTAAGAGTGTACAATGCTCCACTCTCTCAGAAGGGACCTCTGTTCTGGATGGGGAGGAGATTGGGGGGACCAGGAACTCAGGAATGTGACTCAGTACAGCTTAGATGGCAAGTAGTTAGGTAGTAAAGTTGGAGCACCCCCGCTAAAAAATGGAGCAGAATGGGGAAACATCACTTTAATGAAGGCAGGAGAGCATGAATGAATGGTTTGATAGCCAAGAAGGAAAGTAGTGCTCATTCTTACCTCATGGAGCAGGAGTGAGAGGCCCTGGTTAAGAGAAGCTGGGATCTCATAGTCACTATGGGTCACACTTGCCAACATGGCCACATGATCTGTCTCTGCAGCCACTGGAAACTGAGTTAAGAGGTAGGGAGCAGGGGTGGGGGAAGGGATAGTAGGAATAAGACAAGATTTCTTAAGGTCTTCCTTCTTCCCACCACAAGGCACAGCTCTTCTCTGCCCAAAACTACTATTCTCTCACCTTTCCAGTTGCCAAAGAGAAAAGCAAGACACCCAGTGACCACCAATCAGCAGCATGGTTGTAAGGTCCTCCACTTAGGACCTCTGGGGCTACAGATTTCAAAGATACTCGTCACTGACATCCTTTAGCTATCCTCCTGCCCAGTGCTTACCCATCAGCTTTAACCTCTCTCACCCATATACTGAAGAGTGCCACAGATAGTGTAGGCTCGAGCTCCCTGGGGCAGGTAGCGGGACAGACCAAAGTCTGTCAGTTTCAGATGACCTATTAAAGAAGGTAAGGCAACTGCACCACTGTTCCACCCCTTATTGGCCATGATTTATTCCCAAACCAAAGCACCTCTCATCCTGGGGCTAGGGAAGAAAAAAAGACTTACCTCGTTCATCTAGAAGAATATTCTCCATCTGAAAGATTACAGGTGAGAAATTATTCTTCCTCTTCAACTCTTTTGTCATGTATACACCCCAGGTGAAGGTGATGCCCTACTCAGCACTCAAATCTATATCCAGAGAGCCCTTGCCCAAATCCTTGGCACCCATGGGGGCCCCAAGGTCTACTGTCCTCAGCAACCCAACTGATTTCTTGGACTTGTTGGAACTTCTGAGACTCTTTCTCAGACAAAGGGAAAAAAGCACTTAACTCTACCTTCACATCTCGATGCATAATGCCCAAGTCATGGAGATAACCTGTGGATAGCAAGCATAGGGCGTGCTGCAGCGTTTCTGTCCTTTCTTGTTTCCCTAGTAGCCCTCACCCCATCCTTATCTTATTCTTTGACCTCCAGAATTAATATTAATTCTTTACTCTCTTTCTTCCCAACATAAATCTTCCCTCCCCATTTCCTTTACCACTGTTTCACTTACACAGCACCAGGACCAACTCGGCAGCAAAGAGTCGGATGGAAGCCTCAGGAAAGCAGCCAACAGCCGACCAAAGGGAGTACAGATCTGTGCTGCAGTAGCTACACACTGCAAAGCCAGTTTGGAGCTACATACATTGCCAGAAATCTAGGCAGTGTTTGGGAGCTGCAATGCCTGAGCTCAAGGCATTGTAGGCCTCCTGCCCAAACTGATACCACCTGCTGTTCCCCCTCCCTTTGGGACAGAGAAGTGTCATGAGAAAGGGGACAGAACAAAGGCAGAACAAACCAAAGAGGTAATCTCAGGTGGGGAGTATGGTAGAAGGACCCTGGGGGATGAGGAGAGTCCAATCACTCACTAATGAAAAGGTGCCATTTTCCCTGCCAGCTGTCCCTCAAGCTGTGTACAAAAGGATGGTTGATCTGTCGCTAGGGACAAAGAAAACAGGAAGTTAGGGAGGAATAGCGTCATTGAGAATAAAGGCAGCCAAGAAATCATTACCCAGATGTGCAGAGGGAGAATTGCTGCCTCACTTTTCAGTTCAGAGGAACTCAGTAATTGGGACTGACTGCCTGGTAATCCTCAAACCAGCAAATACTAAGGAATACACTGGGACATGAATTAAGAGATTTCCCTGGTAGGCATGGAAAAACTGTTGACAGCTGATAGCTACTCTTCCCAGGACCTACTTTAAACTAGGTTGAAGTAGATGGAGGAGGCAGAACCAGGAAAAGAAGGTGGGCAAGAAAGGTACTTTCCCTACCAATGGCCTAGCTCTTTCAACAATCCTTTCCATGACTAGGTGCATACCTGGATGCTAACCTCCTCTTTGCACTGCCTCACGGTGTCCCTCTGTAGCACCTTTACCTTGGGCACCACCTATAGGAGAGTAGTGATGAATAGAGAATAGAGCTATTGAATTGTTTATTCCTCCCAACCTGTCTGGAATCCACATTGGAAACAGACAAGAGAATGTGGTACCTGAGCCCCTACCTTCACTGCAAATACAGCTTTCTGGGTACAATCTACCACCTTGAGGACAGTTCCAAAGGAGCCTTTAGCCACAAGGCCTAAAATCTGTACAGAGAAATGGAGAACAGGGCAATTGAGACTGGTCATTTCTAATTCCTCCCAAAGACTGAGACCCCACTCAGGGATTCCACTGACTTACCTTTAGCTGCTGCTGCTCCCTAATGGGCCTAACAGGAAACTCTGGTAGAAAGAGGTTGATGAACTGAGGCACTGGCCACTCAGGCAGAGGCTTCTCTACCAGCAGTGAGGCTGGCCTTAGCGACTCCCGGAACAGACAGTGATGCCCCTGTAGTTTCCACAGTTCTTCCAGATCTGACCTGATGGTTCCCATACCTGACCAGAGGGTCTTCCAGCCTTGGGCCCAGGGACCCCAGATATGGCCATCCTGCTGAGAACCAAGGGAGCCACTCTAAACTTTCCGCTCCTGAGGCATAGCTGGTTCCACCCATCTTACTAGGCACTCCCTCCCCTTAAGTCTCCACCCCTAGAGGTACATTTTTCAACATGAAGGAAAATTCGTCACCTTTGCTTTATGCTAAGCCCTGGATTTTCTGGACACAATTCAAATCCTCTAGGAAAATAATTGGTGGACATTTTCACCACAATGCATTATTAACACAGCTTGAACCTTAGTATTGAGCTGTGATGCTTTCATAGTATAGCCTCCCTGCCCCACCCCCACATCCAGTAATCACTGCCATGCTCCTAACCAAAAACTTCCCAGGCCTCAAGAGCCCATGTCTCCCTCTCCTCCCCTCAGTAGGCTGCCAGAGCCCCATAGCCTACCTTGTGAGAAGCAGCCACCCGGGTGTGTTGACCCTGCCGACAGCTCACTGCTCCCATCCCCAGCCTCTGCCTCCTCTCTCCTGCTAAATCTGCTGTCCCAGTTACATAAGCAATTCCTCTCCCTGATACTGCATGACACAAGCCCCGCCTCTTCCAATGTGCAGAAACCCATCAGCATGGGGGCAGAGTCACACTAGTACTAGATATTTTTGTGATAAAGCTTCAGGGTAGAGGAGGGAAGAGGCCACCCTCAGAATGGCAGCTGCTGGATGTCTTGGGTTGACAACAGAGGGATACACAGACTGAACACATGCACTCAACACACACAAAAAAAACGAGCATCAAATTTAAACTTTTTTTTTTTCTCTTTAAATCTTTTTGCCATTCTCCAGGGCATATCTCAGGGGGAAAAGTGGGGTACCCATGGCCAGCCCTGGCTCCTATTGCCATCCTCCCAAGTGAACTTAGCACGGAGATTGGGAAGGAGTTGATTGCCCCTTCCCCCAGAACACTAATACCTCTTTCATACATGGCAGTGGAGTGAGGATCAGCCCCTTCCCCTCAGTTTCCTGGCACAGAGGGAGGACAGTTACACTTAGAAATATAATATATATATGTATATATGTCTATAAAAATGTATCACACTTGATCAGGACTATCGCCCCCCACCCTTTCACTTGACCCCAAGGGAATCGGGTCCAGGGGTCTTGCTCTCTTGTTGCCTCTCTGGCCCTGAGCCTGATCAGCGTGAGATGGAACTCAGCATTATTGTCCACTATGCCCTGCAGGGAATAGGCCAGCTGCTGAAGAGCAATGCCTATAGGCTCTGACACCAACAAATCCTGGTAGATAAAGGGAAGCCCCTCCCACTCCACAAGTCCCTGGAGCATGAGCCAGAGTCAGATCCTGTACTGCAGCCACTCAAATCGCCAAATCATTTGCGCCTGCCAAAGATCGACTTCTTGCCAGGGTTCCTGTCGCCCACACTTAAACCAATGAGGAGCCGGGCTTTCTCCTCTTCTTCCTGCTGTTGCATGTTCAGGTCCGATTTAGTTTCTAGCTTTCCCCGGACTTCAGAGCCTGTTGCAGGCTTCAGCCTTAGCTTCTCTTTGATTACCTGGCAGATTGGAGAGGAGTAAAAGGAAAGGTAAATATTAGTGGGCAGACAGAATAAATCAAAATGAACCAAGTCAACAAAGATTTATTGAACACATCCAAGGCACAACGCAGCAATGTGCATGATAAAACGGTCTCTGCTTTCAAGAAGCTTACAGTCTAATTATAACTCCTTCTAAACTTTAGGTTGTGTTAGCTCTCAGTTCTCTAAAATCAATGGTGATATATCAAATACTCAGTAAATATTGAATATAATCATCTGAGTGAGGTCATGGAGAGGGCAAGCATAGAAGCCACATTTCATGCACCTGCCCCTTCCCAAGGATATTCGTTCATGTATACTAAAATGAAATGTGCCTGAAAAGAGGATCTACCTGCCAGCCCCATTAACCAAACAGCCACGAGCCCTTGCGGGATACCTGGGCAACCAGGGCTTTGCGGCTGTCCCTTTTGACAGCCATGGCAAAGTCAAGCCATGTCCATGTGTTGTTATGGTACTCCAGACAGGGCAGCACCAGGTTAAGGTCACCCCAGTCCACACTGTTCTTCTCACCCTGTAAGAGGCGGCAGAGGAGAAAGAAAAAAAGAGGGGGAGAAAAATACATCAGCTGCCATTTTGAGTCCAAGCCAGCCACCTGAGTGCAAGTCCTACAATAATAACCTACAGATACCGATTTCCCCTTACCTCAGCCTGGTAATGGTGCTGACTCCTGAGAGGAGCAGAGGAACAGTAGATTTATCACCCACAGCTTAGCATCACAAACAACCTGGCTATGTCGCTGTCTAGAATCTCTGATGATCTTATCTGGTTCCCTTCCCACCCTGTTCTACAAAGTGCTTGAGAGGTGCAAACCTTGTAGCTGACACACAGTGGAACCTGTGGAATCTTTATGTAGATGAAGGAGTTGTTCATGGCAGCTCGCTCTTTCATCTTGTCAATATCATCCACAGGGTGCTAAGAAAGGTGGGCAAGGAGTGTGACCCCTGAATCCATCAGAAGAAACTCAGGACCCCAAACATCTCCCTCTTCTTTTATCCTTAGAGTGGACTCAAAACCAAAGAAATGCCCAGCCACGCCAAACAGGACCTCAGGACTCTCCCATTTTTCTGTCATTGGGGCATGTTTGGTACCTCTGGTGATTTGCGAAATGACCTTCTGACCCCAGAACTCCGAGTCAAACCCTGCGCCACACCCTTCCCGGGGCCCAATGGTACTGCATCATCTGTTGCGATCAGCTGCCGAGGCTTTACCACTGGTATTCCTATGAAAAAGCAAGTGCACCAGTTGTCATCCATCCTCATTCTTAAGTCTCAGCTGTCTTTGAGGCTGCTACTCTATTCTGGCACTCCGTCATAAAAGTTCTCACCAGTAGTCACCAGTTTGGACTTATCCTCTTCATCACCAACTTCATCATCTTCCACACTTCGGCCAGGAAAGAAAAAGCCCATCATTCTATGAAAGAACTGGTGTGTCAGCTGGATGGTGAGAGGGACCACATTTACCTAAAGAGGAAAAAGATTCAAGAAGCAATTAAGCTCAGACACCATCATCAGTTTACCTACGCCTGATATTGTGTAACACACAGCTGGCTTTTGAATATCCTTTGTTCCCATGTCCCTAAGGGACTGCTTACTAACCTCAAAATGCTCCTTAACAGAGATACCCCCAACAGGGGGCCGGACTTTGCTGAAGAGGCGGAGAGCTAGCTGTCGCCCAGACTGGCAGGAGCTCTGGGGCCGCAGTACTACCTGTAGGATACAGAGTAAATAACAGCCCCCAACCCAATGTCCTTCCTGCCATAAAGCAACCCATAAACCCTCTGCAGAATGAGAGGAGAAGTTGCTAAGCTGGGCAAGCCTTCACCCTCTCAGATAACCACATTGTTTTCCATAGTGGATTCATATTAAAGAGCCATTATAAATGCCCTGTGCTAAAAATATGCAAATGGACTAGGAATGGAGGAAAAAGGACTTGCCTTATAGACAGCATTGGGGAGGAGGTTGTTCATAGTGAACCAGCCCAACTCCAGAAGATGTTCTGCTGTGTCATCAGACTTATTCACCTATAAAGACAGATTATGACCCATCTACTATAATAAACCTTTCTCAGAAGTCTACTAGACAACTGCTATATATCCAGTTTGTTTTCAGGCTCTACGTATGCCTAATCCCAACCTTGCTATCTATCTTCTTCAATCTTATACAATCAATACTCTTTAATCCAGCATTTCTCATGGGTACCATTATCCAGGACACTAAATGTTGGTAGTACTATCTAGCCATAGTGACATTAAAAAATTGTCTAACTCATTTCCAAATGTCCCTTGTAGGAGAAAGTAATAAATAATATCCTCTTCTTCATGTCAATGGCAGGAAAGCTGAATGTCAGTATTAGAATATTCTATTCTAGCCAGGCACGGTGGTTCACACTTGTAATCCCAGCACTTTGGGAGGCTGAGGTGGGTGGATCACGAGGTCAGGACCAGCCTGACCAACATGGTAAAACCCCATCTCTACTACAAATACAAAAATTAGCTGGGCGTGGTGGCATGTGCCTGTAAATCGCTGCTACTCAGGAGGCTGAGCCAGGACAATCACTTGAACCCAGGAGGCAGAGGGTGCAGTGAGCCAAGACTGTGCCACTGCACTCCAGCCTGGGCAACAGAGCAAGACTCCGTCTCAAAAAATAAACATAAAAAAAAAAAAGAAGACTCAATTCCAGGCTGGACATGAAATATTATTTGCCTCTGGGCCACATTTCTAGGGATAATCTTATTCAATGAGAAAAGCATTTGATCAAACTCATCTGTAATGTATCTTTTTTTTTTAAATTTGAGACAGGGTCTCATTCTATTGCCCAGGCTGATATTCAGTGGCACAATCTCAGCTCTGCAACATCCACCTCCTGGGTTCAAGCCATTCTCCTGCCTCAGCCTCCTGAGTAGCTGGGCTTACAGGCACACACCATCACACCCAGCTAACTTTTGTAATTTTTTTGTTTTTGGAGATGGAGTCTAATTCTGTCATCTGGAATGGAGTGCAGTGGTGGCACAATCTCAGCTCACTGCAACCTCCGTCTCCTGGGTTCAAGTGATTCTCTTGCCTTAGCCTCCCAAATAGCTGGGACCACAGACGTGTACCACCACACCTGGCTAATTTTTGTATTCTTTCTTTTTTTGTTTTTTAAGACAGGGTTTCACCATGTTGGTCAGACTGGTCTTGAACTCCCGACCTCAGGTGATCCGCCCGCCTTGGCCTCCAAAGTGCTTGGATTATAGGCATGAGCCACCACGCCCGGCCTAATTTTTATATTCTTTTTTTTTTTTTTTTTTGAGACGGAGTTTTGCTCTTGTTACCCAGGCTGGAGTGCAATGGTGCGATCTCGGCTCACCGCAACCTCCGCCCTTGGGTTCAGGCAATTCTGCCTCAGCCTCCTGAGTAGCTGGGATTACAGGCACACACCACCGTGCCCAGCTAATTTTTTGTAATTTTTAGTAGAGACGGGGTTTCACCATGTTTACCAGGATGGTCTCGATCTGCCAACCTCGTGATCCACCCGCCTCGGCCTCCCAAAGTGCTGGGATTACAGGCTTGAGCCACTGTGCCCGGCCTATTTTTTATATTCTTAGTAGAGACAGGTTTCACCATGTTGGCCAGGCTGGTCTTGAACTTCTGACCTCAGGTGATCCACCCGCCTCAGTCTCCCAAAGTGCTGGGATTACAGGTGTGAGCCACTGCACCCAGCCTGTCATATGTGTTTTTAATTACTTACTTTCTTTTGTAGAGACAGTGTCTCACTCTGTTTCCCAGGCTGGAGTGCAATGGTGTGATCACAGCTCACTGCAGGCTCAAATTCCTGGGCCTGCAATCCTCTTGCCTCAGCCTCCCAAGTAGCTGGGACCACAGGTGTGCACCATGATGCACTAATTTTTTAATTTTTTGTTCAACTCTTGGTTTCAAGCAATCCTCCCCTCTCAGCTTCCCAAAGTTATGGGATTAAAGGCATGAGCCACCACACCTGGCCTGTATCACTTTTTAAAAAATGTTTTATTTCTTTGTTCATTCTTACTCTCCCCTATGGCATCAGAGCTATATGTGTATCACTCATAAACAGATGTGTCTCGGCCAGGCGCGGTGGCTCAAGCCTGTAATCCCAGCACTTAGGGAGGCCGAA